CTCAACTTATTTCTTGTTTGCCTTATGTATCAGGAGCCTCAAAATTACCCTATGCTTGATGCCAGCAACTGTCCTTAGCTAGGTTATTTGGTATCACATTCTCCCTTGATTTATATGCCCTTGCTTGAGAATTTATTCTTTCTTTAATGGCTCTACCGTTGATAATATTTTTATGTTTCATATTGTAAACTACCAAATTCTTCTTGAAAATAGTATTAATAATAAGGTTTCTTATAACTTATGATTATCCAGATTTGGAGCAATTAAATTTTGTAAAAGAAAACAAGAATTAACAGTTATACCTCTTTCAAATTGTGATGCAAAACATTATGTCAAAATTATATGCAAATATAATTTTAATTCCAAATGCACAGAAAACAAAAGGATATTTCCATTAAGAAATACAAAATTCTCATATAAGTCTAATTCATATAAGAGCAGCCACACTGCCTATAAAAATTATCTTTATTCTCCTAGCTAACCATAGAGAAGCAAGAGGTACAGAAATGTCTCCCTAGCAACCAAAAGCTCTAAGGAGTAGTAGAAGATAAATCATTGAAAGAATAGAAGAACACATTACACCCTTTATTTATTTTTTATTTATTTAAGGAAGAAAAATAAGAGCTAGTTAATTATCTTATTAATACTGTTGTTAATAGAGGAGAAAACATTGATTTCAATGTCACACTATGTTAGATTATTAAAATTGTTGAAGTGTACAAAATTTGCAAATGACTAATTCAAATGAAAAAATATGTAATACATGGTGTATCAGTAGTCATTTGTAGAATGATTGTGAGCTGAACTTAATATTTTATATGTAAGTTATGTTCAAATTTTATTTCCATTAGCTAGTCATTGAATAAGGTGTACATTAAAGAATATGGAAAGAACTTTATGCAGTATGCTTTACTTTCTTTTTAAGAGAACCTCCATTTTATTATCCATAAATTTCAAGCTTAGGGAGATTGGTTACATGTATAATTACATCATTTCTAAAAAGTAAAAATACTGATCACCTTTGCACTATGCACTCCAGAGTATTTGCAGTAATGCTAATCTTTTGAGTAATAACATGGATAATTTCCTCTGACAGCCTATCAGGACCACCTCAGCTTCATGCCACTGGCTTTGTCTTCCCTAGGCTCCCTAGCCAGGATCAGCTAGTGGACTTCACCTCCACATCCACCTACCTTAGTTCTTAAGCCAGTTATGCCCTAGCCAAGGGTGTATCAGCAGCCTCAGTCCCACCATCTAGTTTTGAGAGCTAATCAGTTGCTAAGCCGTCTTCTGATCATGCATGGGGCTGGGGTGGGTCCTCTGAACAACTATGTATCTCTCATCCACACATCCAGCCCACCCTCTTCCCTTGAAATTGCAGTCCAGTTCTGCTTACCTGGGCCCCCTTATTTAGATCTAAAAAAGGCAATAAATAACTATGTGAAAGAGAAGAGACAAATCTTCCTGGAAAATAATTCTAAATAATTAGATACTCCACCCCCAAGGAGATAGAGTAAAACTACCCATTCGTTAAATATGGGCTGCACCTAGTGACTTTCTTGTAAAGTGTACAGTATGGAGAAGAAAAAAAAGAGGAACTTCATAGTGAAGTAACGTGACAAACACTGTCTCAGCCAGGGAAGCAAGGTCAGTGTCAACAGTGGTAAGTCATGTTGATACATATACCCTGGTATGACGTGAGGGGCATCCCTCTCTGCTTCTGTGGTCTTCCTCTGCAAAAAAGCATAGTCTCAGTCTAATTATGAGGAAAACATCTGACAGATTCCAGTGAAGGAACATTCTACAAAATATCTGACCAGTAAGTACTCTTCAAAACTGTCAAGGCCATCATAAGGCAAGTCCGAGACCCTGTTGCAACCAGTAAGAGTAAATGCAGTGTGATACCCTGGATGGGATGCTGGAACAGGGACATCAGGTAAAGTCTTTCAAAATATGAATAAAATATGGACCTTAGCTAATAATAATGTATCAATATTTGGTTCATTAATTACAACAAATAACCATATTATAAGGTGTTACTAATAGGGGAAGCTTGATATAGAGTATATGGGAAGTCTGTCCTACAAAATGTCTCTAAATCTAAAAATTGTATGAGAATTTTTTTTTAAATACGATTAAAGCTAATGTTCAGTGAACCTTTGCTTTGTGCCAGACACTGTGCTAAAAGCTCTTGTGTATGTCATCTCACTGAATGTTAAGGATGACCTTATGATAGGAGTACTATTCTCATTTTATAGATGGGAACATTGAGACACAGGTTAAGCAGATTTCTTAAGGCTTAAGATTTAGGAAACTGGGGAAGAGGGATTCTAATCCAGACTAACTCTAGTCCGCATGACATTTTTGTCATATTTATATAATTTATTAACAGACCTTGAGCAGAAGACAAATGCTTGTTTAGCATTTTTCCAAAACTAGGAGTAATCAGATAAATAAGTCTCTGAGGAAGAATATGGAGAAAATCCATGCTTGCCCTCAGACACAATAAATGTACTTCTAGAGCAAAGTGAAGAATTGAGGTTTGAAAAAAAGGCAGAAGAAATTCAAAATAATGAATCTCATTGAAACATTAAAGAAGAGATGTTTAGACAGGATGAAACAAGTGTATGAAGTGTGTTGACCATTAAGACATATACTATCTAAAACATAAGCTGTATTGGAATTAAAGTAACTTGAAAAATTGTAAGGAAGGTGGGGAAAAAATCTATAGCACCTGAACATGACTGCTCACTTAGTGTCTCCCTCAGTTTATCCTTAGGACTAGACATCTCCCTGATTTAAAACCATAACCTGCTGAGCTAGGGCCCTGTTACACAGTTTAACTCATATCAATCTCTTTTTCTTGAGTCAAGGAGATGTGCAGCAGGGGGCAGTGGAATTCATGGCCCATACTCCCAATCATCCATGAATGTATATATGTTACAGATTGGTGTTAAGATTAAAAACTGTTCTTCATTTAACATTGCCCATACATTCTCTGTGATCTAATCTGATAGACTGTTAGTTGACTAATTGAAACATGGAATCATACCTTAAACAATCAAGTTTTCATTTAAAAACACTGATATACTTTTACTCACCAAACTTTTGGTATAAAAATAACGCATTTGTTTTGCTTTTTTGCACATTGTTTTGTTTTTAGGAAGCAATATGCTGGTGAGGCAGGAATGAAAAAAGATTGAGTTCTTTGTCCTGTAACTACTCTTAGATGGCAAAAGAGAAGATGATAGTCTATAATCCACACACACACACACAATTTTGTGAGATGAGAACTTTTTTGGCTTGTAGAGCAGGCTTGCATAGTTTCACTGTTGCAGTTCTACCTTAACTTTTTTGCATCAAACGTATCTATTATGCATAGTCTACAATGTTCAGCTTTGGTTCACCTAAAGTGAAACAACAGACTTTAGTTTTGTTAAATAATGGAATTTTGATGACCTTTGCAGAATCACACAAAAGAAACAAATAGAAAGAAACCAAACCACAAACTCCTTTGACAGCATCAAAAGCATTTTAAATCTCAAACCAAGTATACTGTGAAGTACAATAAAGGTAAAGAGGGATGCAGAAAGACGAAGGGATGCAGGCTTACAGATCACCAACAAAATCAATAGAACACAATTTCCAAAGTGCATATCCTGAGGAGCAAAATCAACAATTCCTAGTTTGTAACAAATTCAGGGTGGTGCTTCCAGTCTAACAAAGGAGAAACAGAGAATATTAGAGAACCCAAGCAATCACATTGGAAAACCACGTTTTTAGGAAGCAGTATGCTGGTGAGGCAGGAATGAAAAAAGATTGAGTTCGTTGTCCTATAACTACTCTTAGATGGCAGAGGAGAAGTAAAGATGATTGTCTATAATCCACACACACACACAGTTTTGTGAGATGAGAATTTTTTTGCCTTGTAGAGTAGGCCTGGATGCAGCCCAGTATACTCTACTGCAAAAATTTGGTCCAGGAGGTATTCATTTGATTCAAAGATGGTCAAAATTTTAAAAAGGGTTGGGGAGGGGAGCATAACATTCCTGGGTTCTGTGCCAAGGGGGAGATCTGGAGCGCTGCATGAGAAATTGGATAAGATGAAGCCTTACTTTTCAGTTACTCTTTGGTAATTTTTAACTTCAAAAGAAATTTAGTGCCATAAGAAAAAGAATAGGGGCTCTGAAAAAAATTCACTTAAACCTTTGCAAGAAATCTGACTATACATCCTTTCGGATATTTTTTACTCTTTTTTGTCCAATTTCTTCTGGTGACTTTGCTTTACCAAGCCTTTCACAAAGGCATTCAGCTTATAGAAACAACTTTTCCTTTGCATTCATATTTCACTGGTTATGTTACATTTACTTACATCATTACAATAATATAACTGGCATAACAAGTTTAGAAACAAATACACTTGACTCAGTAACCAAAAAGCTCAACTGATGGGACTAAAAACATGTAAGTGATCTAGAAAGTGGTCTGCTAACTACAAAGATTCAGTGTACTATATAGGTTTAATGTATTTTAGAGGAAAAACAAAGTAATGCCTGTTGACAGATTTGTCTAGTGGACATAGGAAATTACCTTAAATATGAATATACGTTCATGTCATGTTCCTGTTGCCTCTGAATTATTCTCTAGAATAGTTCTATATATTTTTTTAATCTTAATTTTATTCAAAAAATACTTGTTGAGCTCCTGTGTACCTCAAGAATAGAAGCAAGTGAAAGTAGATATTTCATCACTACTTGTTGAAAGTAAAGCAGTATTAATATGTTATTTGTGATTTTATTTATGATATGCTGAATAACCTCTATTGGTATAGAAGATTTAAGTGAAATAATTATATTTACTTGCATCATGAATATATTTAGAGCTCTTCAGACACCTAAGGTTGTTTTAAATTGTTACATTCATTTTACTTTATTGTATGTTTGATAAGGAAAAAATATGTTTACTATTGTTAACTTTATTGTTGCTGTTTTATCTTGAAGCTGCCAAAAAACATTATAATGGACTACTATGAGAAGTATAAACCTAGAATGAATGAGCTGGAAGCTTTTAACATGGTAAATCTCAGAACTTAACATATTAATTTGAATATGTTGCTAGACTTGAATAGGGTACTATTACATTTTATTATGGGGCCAACAAATCTAGGTTGTTTTTCTCTTACTGCAGAAAAAACTGTTTGGATCATTTCCTATTTCAAAACTATATGAGGTGTCAGTAATGTAATAAAGAGAGCACATGGTAGATTTCTCTTAAAATATATTATAAACGCATAGAAAGCAGTCTCAGAGTTCTTTGAACACATATTGGTCTCAATGCAGTTATTTTACAAGCATTCCTTTTAATGAATTTCATTCTTAGTAGCTTAAAAGCTTTCTATCACATATGTATGATGGCTTTTGGATTCTACATCACACTCACTCAAAGGACATTCTTTTCCTATTATTATTAAAGAAAACCTTTTGATCTCTGCAGTGTTAATTTTCTTAGAAGTACATTGGGTGGTAGAGATATGGCCCTATATAAATTTTCTGTAGATACGTTTTCTTAAACATAAATGGTAAGCTAGTTGTTGTTTATGTTTTTAAAGTGTCACCATCCTACCTTACTCTTATCTTTTAGTTGAAAGTTGTTCTGGCTCCTTGTATAGAGACACTGATTCTTCTGGATCGACTTTGCTACCTTAAAGAACAGGTAAGTTATGTTATTTTTAAGTGCATAACAATTGTCTTTATTAAATCCAATAATATGGATTCACATATGCCTAAGATAAGATTCTTTGACATACAGCTAGTAAGATAATTTTTCTCATTATATTTTCCAAGTTTAAATATTCATTCCATCTCCTTTTAAATACAAACATATGTATGACAGATGTTTTCAACAAAACTGCTATAATGAAGTTTAGGTTCTTTTAATTGTATGGTAATTACTATATGGTAGGTAGTGAATGCCATCATATATATGATATATTATATAGTTAAAATTAATGAAGGCCAGACATAAAAGATATCATGTATGTTTCATCTGTAAGAATTCACCTTTTACTTCACTTTTGGATTTTTGGACATATTCATTCTGCAATATAGAAACTTCTTTCTGATCAATGAAAATTGCTTGTTTTTTCACCATCTTATTTATTTTATGTTCCAGTCAAAAATATATATTTTTTTTACTGTCTTTAGGGAAAATATTTTTTGCAGATTCTGATCTGAGCTGTGATCAAAATAGTTTTCTGAACTGTTCAAAATTAAACCTATTCATGGATTCAGCATTATGTTTCCACTATAATTATTTTAACAACTTTGTTTGATCATATTGGGAGGTTTACTTTCTCTTCTTTTTAATAGGTTACTTGAAATAAATGAATTTTAATGAATGTTTGCTTTTGTTCTAATTTGTATTTTTATGGAAAAAGACAATTTTTAAATATTTAGAGAATCATTTATTAGAATGAGCTACCAACTAACTAAAAATCACTGGAAAGCTTTGGTTCCCAAACTGGTGGGTAACAGAATCAGGCCTGTTTTACTAGGTACTCATCATTTACCTTTACAAAACAATTCGACCTACATAAAAAACAGTTTGCACAAATATTAAAGATTTGCATGAAGTGATAGAAATCATATAAATGTTAATGTTAATATTTTAAATAATATTTAATTATAGAAGTAATACATATTTATGTTAGAAAATTTAAAATGAAGAATATAAAAAAGAAAACTAAAAGCAGTGATAATCCCACCTTTCAGCACTATTAAATTTTTGTTATGTTTCCCAGTGCTTCTCCCTAATATATATGTCACATGTATATGTATGACCACATTATTTCCACTTTAATTAAAACTGGAATCAAATTATGAATTTGGTTTCTCATCTAATTTGTTTCACTTATTTTATGTAGAATTTTCCCATCTCCTTAAATATACTGTAAAGCTGAGCAGTGTTTCATCACATAATAATTTATTTCATACTCAACTGTTACCAAACACTTCCAGTTTTTCACTGTTGTAGCAGAGCAACTTGTAGTTCACTCTCTATGTGCATTTTTATTTCCTCAGGATAAATTCCTGAAGGTAGAATTATAAATGTTAATTTTATTCAACAAAGAATAATATTGTTTCATATAGTTATTTTTTACATAGTTTCTAATACTATAATATATAGTGTAATTCATGTCTCATTTTTATCTTCAATAAATTATTGTATATTTAAATCACTTATCATTTCACAGGAAGATATTGCATGGTCTACACTTGTGAAGCTGTTTGATCCTGTGAAATCTCCCAGATGTTACGCTATTATTGCTCTGAAGAAACAGCAATGATTTCAGTTGAGGAAGGTATTAGATGCATCTTTTTGTAGAACCTGTTGCTAATTTTGCTTTTCTAAATATATAAGTTGTGTTATGTAAATATTTGAAAAACACTGTTATATATTTTAAGTAAACAATAAACAGCTTATAACAGAATGCCATAATCCATTTTTCCATTGATAAATTGCATATTATTAAAATAAGAACTCATGAAAGTATTATGTGATTGACCTACGTTCCCGAGTTAGTAGGTCAATAGAATGTAATCTGAGCTTTGTTTCCTGTTCAGTATTTGAGACTCTCGATATTTGCTACATACCACATTTTGATTTGTACTGACTTAACAACAGATGAAAAGTTTAGGTGTAGATACAGTAAAATTAGTTGGTACAGAAGGTCATTTGTGTTTTCCTCCACATTTTAGAAGGGTTTTCCATGTTATCAGAAGGGGAAAAGTCAACATTTAAAGAGAAGAAAAAAGCAGGAACCAGGCCAGAAATAAAAGTGCCTGATATAAAGCATATTTTGCACTGTTTTAGTCTAAGTGTTACATGAAGAAAAAAATATATGCCCTTAAATAAACGATCATGCACCTTATAAGGGATATATTCACTTTAAGGATTCTTGAGGCTATTTATTGTATGAAAATAAAAGAATGGGTCACGCTCTGTAAAACACCAAGGCAAGAAGAGCAAGACTGAATGAGCTAAGGCCAGTACTCTGCCCAGTGAGGTACAGGTTCCTTTCATTAGCAGAAAATTTGAGGTTTCTGATATACACAGAAGAGATAGACAGTTGTGAAAAAGCTCCCTTGATGCTCAGCCAGAGATAGTATAAAATTCTCCAAACAGAAAAAGTAGCTGCTCTCCAAAATTTTGGAAATCTATCTGCAAATGAGAAGAATGATGTCTTGCTTTGGGTTGGAATATTGAGTTTGCAGCCAGTATACATGTGAATGGTCAGATACTCTGAATATAGCTATATTGGGAAATACTGGGAAAATAAGGCTTTTTTTAAGCTTTTTTATTCTGGAAAATGTCCAACATGTCCACAAGTAGAGAGTTGAGTCTAATGAATCTGCATGTTTTCATCCCAAACCTCAATAATTATCAACATTTTACTAATCTTGTTTCATCTGGACATACACGAGCATTGACACATACTACACATACACACACATACAGCCTGAAGAATTTTAAAGCAAATCTCAGCCAGATTGTTCTTTCACATAAATATGTTAGTATATATTTCTAAGTCAAGGTTTTTTTTCCCCATAATGTCATCTACTACTTGTACTCATTTACATTTCCATGATTGGCTCAAAAAGTCATTTATACCCATTTGTTCAATTCAGAATCAAAACAAGGTTTCACACATTTGCATTTGGTTGCAGTGTCTCTTCAGGATGTTTACCTTACTTTTAGCAGAAAGCAAAGGAATATAGTATTTTGTAGGACTGGGTCTTTATACACATGAATCCTTGCTGCAATGTTTGTGGACTCTGATTTCACAAGAACTGCTCTTTGAGAACTCATTTTGCAGTCAAGCTAAAGAATGTGGTGCATTGGTGGGAACACTAATTCTGACACTTACTTTTTGGGTGAGCTAATGCAAGATTGTTAATAATCTCAGAGCCTCGAGAGAAGGGGAAAAAGATGGTGACATGAATCTGCAGAAATCTCCTCCCAAAACCACATATATCTTGAAAATACAGTAAATACAACTAATGCTAAAAGAGTGCCCAGAAGTAACAGTACACCAGCCAGTCTACATCTGGGAGAAGTCAACAGCTCATGGAAAAGGGTAAAGTAAAAGGCCACAACCCGGTAGGACCCAAGCACTCCCTCCACCCCAACTCACTGCTGGGAGAAAAAGAATCAGAGTAGGGAGGGAGTGGAAGTACAGGACTGCTAAATACACAGCCCTAGAAATCTACCCCAGGAGCATGGACCCACAGTGCGAGGTGCTCTGGAGACTGGAGGGACTGAAAGGCAGAGTCTAAGACTAAGACTGTGAACAGGTTCCCACAACCAGCTGCCCTGGAACAAAAGAAAATCAGGCTCTTTAAGGGACCTTTCAGCAGTCAGAGGGCTGATAGGGGGGCAAGGGTTTGGGAGAAGGAACAGGTGGACAAAATCATCCTGGCACAGTCAGCCCAGTAGGCAAGGAAATTTCAAGAGCTTTCAGGTGCCCTATCCCCTTTGTTGGCAATGCAGCCCAAAGGCCCATCATCACGATAAGCAGCCTGCCACTCCTTCCTCCCCACTGGCACCTACAGGCAAACCAGTTGTCCCCACCATTGCTGCACACTAGCTGGAGGGTAGCCCTGCCTGCAGCAACTACACAGCTTAATGCAAAGGCTTCTCTCTGCATGTGACTAACCTGCCCAGACCTAGAGGCCACTCCCTGCATACAGTTGACCAGCGCAAACAGCAGAGATGGGCGCTAAGACCGGGAGACACGAAGGGGCTTTGCTCTCATGGCAGAACCTGCGCTGCTCACCTGCAAACCCCACCATCACCCTAGGTCATCCCGAGCACCATCCTGCCCAAGGCAGTTTAGCAGATTAACCCAGAGGCTGCTCCCTGCATGTGGTTAATGGGCACAGACAGCAGAGACAGGCACAATGACCAGCAAGCAGGAAGAGACTTTGTCCTCCCAGATGACACCTGTGCCACTTGCCGGTGACCACTCCCATAGCTCCAGAACTATGAAAGGGCAAAAGAACCTTGTTCAGTCCAAAATCCCTCAAACACCAGACAGAGGCCTCAGTGAGACTGAAATCACCAATCTTCCTGAAAAAGAATTCAAAATAAAAGTCATAAGCATGCTAATGCAGCTACAGAAAAATATTCAAGAGCTAAGGGATGAATTCAGGAGGGAGATAACTGAAATGAAACAGACAATGGAGGGATTTAAAAGAAGATTAGGTAAGGTATAGGAGGCTGTGAATGGAATAGAAATCAGAGAACAGAAATACAGAGAAGCTGAGGCAGAGAAAGATAAAAGGATCTCTAGGAATGAAAGAATATTAAGAGAACTGTGTGACCAATCTAAATGGAACAATATTTGCATTATAGGGACACCAGAAGAAGAAGAAGAGAAAGAAAAAGGGATAGAAAGTATCTTTGAAGAAGTAATTGCTGAAAACTTCCCCAATCTGGGGAAGGAAATAGTCTCTCAGGCCATGGAGGTGCACAGAACTCCACTGAAAAGGGACCCAAGGAGGACAACACCAAGACATATAATAATTAAAATGGCAAAGATCATGAACAAGGACAGAGTATTAAAAGCAGCCAGAGAGAAAAAAAAAGGTCACCTACAAAGGAAAACCCATCAGGCTATCATCAGACTTCTCAACAGAAACCTTACAGGCCAGAAGGGAATGACATGATATATTCAGTGCAATGAAACAGAAGGACCTCGAATGAGGAATACTCTACCCAGCAAGATTATCATTTAAATTTGAAGGAGGGATTAGACAATTCCCAGATAAGCAAAAACTGAGGGAATTTACCTCCCATAAACCATCTCTGCAGTGTATTCTAGAGGGACTGTTCTAGATGGAAGTGTGCCTAAGGCTAAATAGCTGTCACCAGAGAAAAATCAAACCACAATAAAGCAAGTAGACCAACTGAATACTAACTAAATGCAAAATTAAATCAGCTAACTGCAAAGTCAGTCAAGAGACAAAGAAGGACATTACATAATGATAAAGGGGTCCATCCAACAAGAGGATATAACCATTAGATATAAATATCTATGCACCCAATACAGGAGCGCCTACATATATGAAACAGATACTAACAGAATTAAAGGGGAAAATAGAATGGAATGCATTCATTTTAGGAGACTTCAACACTCCACTCACTCCAAAGGACAGATCAACCAGACAGAAAATAAATAAGGGGACAGAGGCAATGAACAACACATTCGAACAGATGGACCTAACACACATCTGTAGAACATTCCACCCAAAAGCAGCAGGATGCACATTCTTCTCAAGTGTACATGGAACATTTTCGAGAATAACCCACATCCTAGGCCACAAAAAGAGCCTTAGCAAATTCAGAAAGATTGAAATTGTACCAACCAACTTCTCAAATCACAAAGGTATAAAACTAGAAATAAATTGTACAAAGGAAACAAAAAGGCTCACAAACACATGGAGGCTTAACAACATGCTTCTAAATAATCAGTGGTTTAATGACCAAATTAAAACAGATCAAGCAATACATGGAAAGAAATGAAAAAAATCCTGGCCTATTTAAAGGAGGAAGAACAGTCCCATATGAACAGTCTAAATTCACAATTATTAAAAGTGGAAAAAGAAAAAATGAGGCCAAAGTTAGTAGAAGGAGGGACATAATAAAGATCAGAGAAGAAATAAATAAAATTGAGAAGAATAAAAAAATAGAAAGAATCAATGAAAGCAGGAGCTGGTTCTTCAAGAAAGTAAACAAAATAGATAAACCCCTAGCCAGACTTATCAAGAAAGAAAGAGAGTCTACACACAAAAACGGAATCAGAAATGAGAAAGGAAAAATCACTACGGACACCACAGAAATAAAAAAAATTATTAGAGAATACTATGAAAAATTATATACTAACAAGCTGGATAACCTAGAAAAATGGACAACTTTCTACCAAAACACAACCTTCCAAGACTGACCCAGGAAGAAACAGAAAATCTGAATAGACCAATTACCAGCAATCAAATTGAACTGGTAATCAAAACTACCCAAGAACAAAACCTCCAGACCAAATGGATTCACCTCTGAATTTTATCAGACATTTAAAGAAGACATTATACCCATTCTCCTTAAAGTTTTCAAAAAATAGAAGAGGAGGAAATATTTCCAAACTCATTCTATGAAGCCAGAATCACTCTAATATGAAAGCCAGGCAAAAACACCACAAAAAAAGAAAACTACAGACCAATATCCCTGATGAACATAGATGCAAAAATACTGAACAAAATATTAGCAAACCGAATTCAAAAATACATCAAGAGGATCATACACCATGACCAAGTGGGATTCATCCCAGGGATGCAAGGATGGTACAACATT